ATAATTAGATTGCCCACAATTTTATGATAATGAATTACCTCCTACTTGTTTTGACCACCCCTCCCCTATCACTTTTGACTTCATTAGCATACCCACCTACTAAAATAATTTATACCACATACTTGTTTTGACCACCCCTCCCCTATCACTTTTGCCTCATTTGTATCTCACAATTCCTACAGTCCCACATTCCCACAGTCCCACAATTCCAATATATACAAATATAGGGAGCAAGGATGGCCGAGCGGTTAAAACGCCGGTCTATCACTGCTGTGGTCCTGGTTCGATTCCCGGTTCGGGACTATATGTGATTTGAGTTTGTAAGCTGGTTCTCTTCCTTGCTCCGAGAGTTTTTCTCCAGGTCCGCTGGTTTTCCTCCCTCAGTCAAAAACTAGCTGTGAGGAGTGTCATGTAGTAAAATAATGAATGTTGAGGTAGTGAGTGTGAGTGAATATATAGAGGGCCACAAGTTTATTAGTCTTGAGACTATTACGTACTACCCTCTCAAAATAAAAGACATTATATTTATTTACCCACTATATACCCACTAACCCACTATATACTTACTATATACCCACTATACCCACTGACTATATACCCACTATACCCACTATATACCCACAGTCCCACAATTCCTCGATATGGTTCTCCTTGCCTCCTCTAGGGTATAATTCGGTGCACACTATACTACTGTTGTGTATCAAGGAAGAGAACATTTTTGAGTATATGAGACGTACTTTATTATTTGTAAGCCAGCCAGTGACGAGTGGTGAGGCAATTCCAGAAAGCGTAGCAAAAGCATTGCCAATTCCCAAAAGAATACCGGCAAAGCGAGGGGAGATATCCAACTGATTTAAAGATGAGCCTACGTTAAGCATGACTTGAAAAGTGAGGGATAAGGATATTAACACGATTGGTAGAACTTTGTCCTCCTTTCCTACGTAACTCGACGCAATGAGAAGAAATGCTGGGATGACTAAACCTGTCAAATAACATCATTTCTTTAGACGTCATGTTTCAAATGATTATAAATTGATTGATTGATTGATTGACAGTAGGTTGACTGACAATTTGATTTACCCTTCTTTCCAAGCAACCTTTCACTTAGCTCCCTCCGCTCCCTCCGCAGTCATCTCAAAGAATCACGGGCTTCCTGTCTTTTTTTGGGAGTAAAAAGAGGGAGAATGGGGGCGAGAAAAGGGATCTTATTTTCTTTCTCATCACTAGTTCCTAGCGGACAAGATGACCGTTTACAAAGGAAGCCCAAAGGAGGAAAAAAGAGTTGCCTGGCGAGAAGGCTACCTTTCACGACCTTTCACTTATCTTAATTGTTTCCCTTACTTCGGATCTCGACTCTGTGTTACGAGACAAAAACTAATGAATGAGTGAAGGGTAAGGTGTTCTCCGATTATTCTCAGTCTACGCCCTTGGTTCAAGTCCCGTGCTCCCCACAGGGAGCCAAATAAGAAAAAGCAAACAATAATTTTACGATTCAGGAGATTGTTTGATTGAAATAATTGAATGTTACTACTACAAATGAGCCTGATACTAAGGAGGTAACAATACCTCCAACTGTTGCAAGTTTCCTGACTTCACCCACTGAGCAGATGCGCCTTCTTATCAACCAATCAGCAAACCAAGCTACAATRAAGTTATAGACTGTGCTCGTTATGAAAGGAATGGATGACACAACGCCATCCTAAATAATACAAACAGTTCATCACCACAAGAAAATAATACCAAAATAGATAAACAGGAAAGCCATGGAAGCTTACCACTAAAATCTTAAGACCTAGAACTTCTTTATAATAGGAGGGTAACTCTGTGATGAATGTGTAGAATGCCCAGCCAGAGCAGATATAGGTGATGTTTAAGGCATGTACCGGTAACGACTTAGCTATTGCAAGCCATGGGACTTTATGTTTCTGTACACGAAAGATTGTTTCATTAATAGTAATGATGCCACATGTATTATTTGTATCTGGAATTTCCTTTAATGTGTGAGAGTCAGCTGCAGTGAAGCTTTTTCTTAATTGGGAGTATAATGTCTTACTTAATAACCCTATAGTCCATCCCCCTCCCCCCTCCTATCTAAGCCACTCAGGAAAGTATACATCCACAACAGAGCATTGCCATGCTCAAACTAGTGCGGTCACATCACTTAGACAAGGGGCAGTATCACACACTATAAAACATCACTATTCAGACWAAGGACTAAGGTCCATAATGACAGGAAGTAGTTTGGGATTCCTGTTGCATACCTTAACCAAGTTGTCCTGGGAAGCACCAAGTGAAGATATAATGTAATTTTTTTCATATTCTGATATTCTTGGRTGCAGAGCTGGTTTCTCATACACTAGAAATAACCATGATACATACCACACGACACCAAGGAATCCTTTGCAGGAAAAGAACCAGTGTTTACCAATTTAATTACTTATTAATTGCTCTAATCCTATATTTGCTATTTTTTGTCTAGGATAGGGTATAGTCTCATTGTCTGGGGTAGAGTGGAGTTTTGCCTGTGATCGTATCTGGTAGGCCATGCTTTCAGTGCTAAAATAATGTACCTTTGTACCTTTATTCTGGGGTATAGTGTATATAAAATCAAAAAAATTGGTCTGGGATAGGGTAAAGGAGAGAGTTGTGCGACACTCACCCACCCAAGTTGGGGAGGTAGTACCCCCCTCCCACCAGGGCTCTAATGCCTCTTACTTATTACTTATCATTCTACTGAATATAATGACTGCCACTCACCAGTGATATAAAATACAGATGGCCAACCACCAAGAAAAGTGGATGCACAGAGTGCCCCTGMTGAAGTTTGAGCTATAATAGTTCCCAATGAGCTACCTATATGAAAACGGTAGTGAAGAAACTATCAACTACAGCAGGGCTTATACACACAACATACAGAACTGTTGCTAAATTAAGGTGATTCTATTAGGAATTATAAGATAAATATTAACATGGTCACCTGTATAAGTCACTGTTAACATCATGCTTCTTTCATCAGGTGGTGACCAGCTACTCAGTAAAACGTTTATAGCTGGGAACGTTACACCCTAAAATGATAAGCATTTAAACGAAGGGCGTAAACAAGCTCCCTTTCCATTTAACAAATTCTTATTGTAACATACTTGCCCTACTCCTTCAATAACTCTAACAGCTACCAAAGCAGCAACACTTTGTTCTGCAGCCCAGGGAGTTAAAAGTGTAAATATCACTGATAGCAGTATACCAACACCAAATACATGCTTCCCGCCAAACTTAGATGCCATCCAGCCACCAGGAAGTTGAGTGACAATGTACCCATAGAAAAATGAACTGAGGATCACTCCTGAAACATGGTTTTTTGTCAATTGTTTTTACTGATTTGAYGATTGACTGACATATACATGATGTATGGACTGATTGATTGTTAGTCATCAAAACTTGTCCCCAGTCCTCTTATTCTCCTCCTTCCCTTGATGCATTGCGTGTGATAGAGATGACATGAGAGAAATTCCAGTGTGATTGATTGATTGATTGATTGATGATTGATTGATTGATTGATGATTGATTGATTTATTTTAGAATTGATTGTAATGTTATAATTAATACCTTGTGTTTCTTCTGTCCATGTGAATTCTTTACTCTGATTACAATAGACTTAATCAATATTAATGGATTTCAATTTCTTACTTCAACTCTTTAACTGAAACAATGTTTCTTCTCCCCTAACATTTCACTGATAGCAGGAGCTTGAAGCCTCTGACATGTATCAGTACCAATTGCAGTCGATCCAAGGAGACAAATATAATTCATCAACAATCAGCAAATTCCATCAATTATTATAAATTACCTTTTGACTTGCAGCTATCGTTTTACTGTCCTGCATAGTAGACTCTGTAGAATTAACCATCGCCACTAAAGCAACACTGAGATTCACTCGTATAGCGTACGCGATAGCGAGCCCTATGCAGCCCATCACAGACATCGAATATCGACAAGACATCAACTTGGAGGACTTCACACGACTGTCTTTCTCAACAGAGTTATTCGCAACAGGATTTGGAATGCTGTCCATTGTGAAAGACAGCTAAATAACTACACAAATAAAATAATTTTAATATCTCGAATTTCTCTACCGGGCTTAAGCATGTGATCTCCGAATATTTACATATCGTCGTTACCGGAAGTAGCCCCTGTATAACTTAATAACAAATCTTTCAAAAAAATAAGAATAAAAAACTATTATAGCTATGTTTTCCATCAGTGACAAGGAAATGTTTTACAGTGACCATTATATAAGAGTCGGACGAATTTCAGCTCGTTCAGCCACAGTGTTTCGTGTTCGCTAGAGTTTACTTCCGGTAACATTATTTCCGGTAAGAACGATGTCAATCAGTTTTAAAAAAAGCATATACAGTTTATCTCTAATTCGTGTAGTTATTTTGGGCAGTCTTTTACAATGGACAGCATTCATAAACAGTCGTATGAAGTCCAAGTAGATTTCTTGTCGATATATGTCAATTATTTGCACGGCATTGCATAATTACTGCTTCATGCAAAAACATTTTGTTTTTTTATCCTTTAAGAATGAGGGAGAGGCAAGAACCTTATAGACATCATGAGAGCATAAACAGTACCAACTAACAACCCCCCTCTTATACAACCACTTGAAAAACCTGCTGAAGATAGTGCATTCTAAGCAAGAAATGCACAGTGATCGTCGTTGTATTGCTGCTACCGGGGAGGAGGGGGGGATGACTCAAAAGTGATGCTCGTCGGGTCTCTTTAGAGGTAAACATTCGTGATTTGGAATCTTTTAGGGAAAAAAAGAGAAAGAGCGCATCGATATTGATTTTCCTCTGCGTTTTTGTAACGAAAGGACTTATGGGGCCTCTCGTCATTATGCAACCATCCACTTATAGCAGGCGTTCCTTGCTAGTCCTTGATATTTTTAAGTTGAAAAGAGAAAATCTCTAGAGCAAAATAAACGAAGTAACAACAGCAAAAACAAAAAAGAAAGGAGAAAAGAAAACAAGAAACAAACTAAAAAGAAACAATAAACCAGCGAAAAAAAGAGATATTCAGAAGCAGGACTCGAACTCAGAACATTCACTTCAGGTGAAGATGTACCCCCCGGAATACATAAGAAATAATGAAAATAAAAAAAACTAAAAATATGGGACGATTCCCCCGAGACATTCTATGAAGCTGAGGCGTCGAATCGGCTTACGTTACGGTTAGAGATTTCGGCTCTTCCACGCTATCCCGAGTGAACATAAAACTTAGTCTTAACCAAAAGGCCAGGGAGTGAGGGGGTAGCCGCCCACTAGAGCATACCTTCAGCTACCCTCTTAGACCATCGTACTATGAAGACACTTATAGATATCTAATGTCTAATTGGGGTAGTCTATTCGGTGAAGTTCTATGCTAATATATGACGTCATCAAAATCCTTAGGGAGCAGCGACCCAATCAGAGCTCAGTTCAGGAATTAGCAAAGGACACAGCCTTTGCATAATCATTCTTCAGTGATTTCATGATTATTTGATGGGGGGTGGGGTGGGTGCCGAGTGATGGTTTGCGGCCGAATGCCGATGTTCGATGTAATATGACGGCTTTCACCAAGCTGTTCAATTGTTGTTATTGTTTTCCAAATCATCACTCATCCAAATTAGGTGTACAGTTCCTATATCAGACAGACATTATTGGTATTCGGATAAACACCATGGCACAAATCTCTTTGAAATTCTTAATGTAAGCGGTTTACAAACCAGGCAGATATTTGCTGGAATTCAACGAAACACAATAAAGACCTTTAGTCCTCTTAGGGCGTTTTATGCCCACCCCTCTAGAACGTTCAWTACACATTTTCGTTCTTGATGATATAAAAGTTTACATATTATTGAATATTGATATACTGAATGTTAGCAATTGAAGACGACGAACGATAATCCGTTTCGGTTGTATTGCAGAACTATAATCAGTCGAACGATAGTAATTTTAAAACATAGATGATAATAATAAAAATATTTTATCGAATTGAAGAAAACGTTCGATAGTCAAGCAGATACAGAAAGTTGTCTTTGATTACAGCTAAATTAAACCTCTAAGGACGGCTGCATTTGATCGTGGATTAAAAAATCCCTTTTCCGAATCTTTCAGATGGATAGTGTTTACTGTAGGCAGGGAAACAGCTAGGCGCCCCGCGTCAGGCGCCACGGGAGGAATGATGAACTCCATCACAATAGGTTCCTTGGCCCCTGGGAATCGTCGGCTGTTGCTTTGTATAATAAACGTAATGCCTTGATCGTCACGTGATGTTTCCAGTTCCTTGCAGCGCAGATAATTCAGAAAACGTTGTATACTGAAGATAGTATATTTGAAGTTTACTAAATCTGAGACTAAATCTCTCAGTCCTCGACTGCCTATTCTAATCATTGGAACTGATTTAATTTAACAATCAGTAATAAGCCACGTCATTTTTTCAAGACTTCCGGGATCATTTATGGGTCTTTTTGATCCCTAAGGATCCCCGGTACTTTTTCCCCRGAKTCCCCCCGKGCTCTGCTATCACCACATAGAAAAGTCGTAGGTTAAAATACAATTTATTGCATTACTTGGTACACAATACAATATATATCTGCTTATTAACAATAAATATTCAATTATTCAAGGCATTCCAAATTGGAAGTTGGCGTAGTCATTGATCATATCACAGAAGGAAATATAATTGAAATCATGTTTCAATCCGATTATAACATCAAACTTTTTATACAGAACAGTAAACTCTCTGGTGCTAACCAGYCCCCCTAGRTCAAGTTCGCTCAGCACGCGATGGAACTGACCACGTGATACCGTGCCGTTGTGTACTCGGTCATAGTCCTCGAAGAGCGGGAAGATTTGAACGCGTCGAATGCGAACACGGTCAGCGAGACGGTGCATGACACGTTCAAGCATTTCCTCGGCGTTCGGGTCATCCAGTTTCTTGTTCTCGCTTTCTTTGGTTGTGTTGAACTGTTCAGGGGTTACTAATGGATTCTTTTCTAAGTCTAGAAAGAAAACAGACTCAGCATTTCAATCAACAATGCTTTGCGCGACCATCAAACACGCAGATCACAATGGCCATCATATCCAGTAAATCAAACATCCAGTAAATCAAACATTAAAAAAGGGCAAATACTCACTCTTGAGAGTGAATATCTCCTCGACATCGTCACAGAACTGCAGGTAGTTGATGAAATCAGGGTAACCATATGACGCATATCTGAAATATCGAGATATTATAGATATCAGTTGGGTTTCCTGTGTTGTCAATCATGAAAACAGCCAATCGTCGGTGTTATCATTACTTACGCGTCCATAATCTTCTCGACCTCCATCTTAGTCAATCCTAACGAACTAAGGTCCATCGCACGAGCAAAGTTAACTCGACTCATCCTTCCTGTTCTTAGTTTGTCGTAATCCTTCATGAATTCCAGGACTCGAACCCTTTCCTTCATGACTTTTGATTTAATTTTATGCATAATTGACGCAAGGTTGTCGTGACCCCAGTCAGGAATCTCTTTACTGTTGACAATCTTTAACAAGTCGAGTCTCTTTGTGTACATCAGTTCAGGTTTGTCTGTTGGTTGTAGTTCCTCTAATAACTCCATATAGTTGAATCCTGTGTCATCTGAGTATCTTGCTTCGATTACCTGGCATTGTTATTAGCATCGTTAGTAAACTAAAGTACACAATACGTGAAATAGAAAAATATYATTTCTTAGTGCCACGCGGTCCAAAAAATCAAATACAGTCAACTCTCGCTATTACGGACACCCTCGGTACCGTAATTTAGTGTCCGCAGTAGCGAGAGTCAGTAGCAACGAGAGTTACTTTCAGTCATTTCTTTGTGTTTTTCGCCGGTATTTTACTGTCCGCAATATCGAGGTGTCCGTTGTAGCGGGGTGTCCGTTAGGCGAGAGTTGACTGTATTGCTAATACGTTTTTTTGTGAACGAACTTTTCGGTGTCTACTAATACCACAAGACAACAATGCACCAAGGAGCATAGAAATTATAAATGAAATAAATGTTATAGATTTATTAATAAATAGTTATCATTAGAGCGGATTTCGTATGAGTGGGACACCGTTACCGCACGGTTACCGCACAGTTACCGAACCTGGCCTGCAGAATTTTGGTGAACCAATAGGGCACTAGAATTTGGTTACAGTACGATTACGGACACAGTACAGTACCGTCCGTTTCCCACTCATACGAAATCCGCTCTATCTTACTAAATACAACGACCATTACTAAATGTTACTGACAGCAGATAATTGCAATAAATAAAATCATCAAGTTTACCTTCATTTCTTGTTCAGTATTGGTAAGACCGAGATTGAGCAAGCACTGACGGGCCTGGGACTTAGTCACGTGRCCGTTGTTATGCCTAAAGGAAATCGATTTTGTTAGCATAAGTAACTGTCGATCTCGAGCCAGCCAATCATAGTGCGGATAATTCCTACTCACTTATCAAAGTCTTGGAAGATCGGTTTACAGAGTAT